GATCTTTCGGATATGACCTTAAAAACGTAGGTCTAGAGTCACGGTTGGAGTTGGCACGATAAAGAACCCTCACTGCTCAATGGCCCTGAGTGCCGAGTATACGTCTAAATTTGAAGCCCTTCACCAGCATACAGAGACGTCTCCATATGAGTGAAAAATTCTCGAGAGGGACGTTAAACAATATACAATCAATTTTTGTCCTGTGTTGGACTAACCGATCCCATACAGTACGTTGTTAAGAGATGAAAAAGAACTACTGCAAGAACATGCTCTACGTATACGTATGAACAATTTCTAAAAAGAGGTAAATTATTGAAAAACAAGTTAATGAAACAAAAATATCAGCAGTCTCGTTTACAGTCATCATTTCGTAAGTTTTATGGTCGATACAATGACCTTGTCAGCAAATACAATTCATCATTGAGTCACATGCTGACTGACGTTAGTCCATTATTTATACAGTGAATTGACGACGGAATTTTCCATTATTCCCCGATCATGACAAGAAGCACACGGCGGTTGTGACTGGTCGGCAGGGGATGCTCACTCCTCCATAGCACCTGATCCCACCTCTGATGTTTTGGAGGTCCGTGTTTGCTCTGCTCCTATTTGTATTGTTTTATGGACTTTTGATATTGAGTACTGTGCGTTATCTCCATATGGCTGAACCTGACCTTCTTATTTCTGCCTCAGTCCTTCCTTTTTAATCTATTGTGGCTCCCAGTTAAAGAAAAGTTGTGTTGTAAATTCTCCTTGTCCCCTGCTATTCATACATTTTCTACGGCCACATCTAGTATATTTGTAAAGAAGTATATTTTTGTTTTGTTGTTCCTCTTTCACTAGGCATAAAGCTTGGTCTGGTCTCAGATTGTCTTCTATCGTATTTGTACGATGCAGAATCATTTTTTCCAGGCTGGCGATGTCTCTTGTTTGTACCGGTCACGGTAGCCTAGTGGTAGAGCGTTTGCTTCGTGATCGGGAGGCCCGGGCTCGATTCTCGTTCGCGGCACCACGTCATACCTAAGACGCAAACATAGGTAGTGACTGTTCCTTCGCCAAGTGTTCGGCATGAGAAGTGAAAGTCACGGGTCTTTTGGATATGACCTTAAAAACGTAGGTCCCGTGTCACGGTAAGCGTTGGCACGATAAAGAACCCTCACTGCTCAATGGCCCTGAGTGCCGAGTATAGGACTAAATTTGAAGACCTTCACCGGCATACTGTGAGTGAAAAATTCTCGAGAGGGACGTTAAACAGTATACTATCAATCAATCAGATGCTTCACCCTCTTTAACTAGATCTACCTTGATACTGTCTCTACTCGTGATTATTACATAATGATTTTTTTTAATATAACGTTCTCTTCTCTTATTGGCGAATCATCGCTTACTCTACATTCATTCTAATACATTCTTTCTTCAAGAAGTTCTCATTTTTTCTATTGGGACATTAAGAAATCTCTCAAAGTGTCTTGACATCTCTGTAATGTTAATCATGCTTACATGTAATGAGTAAAGTAGTCCGCCGATCTTTGATTGTATATCACTACATGTTTACCCGGCAAAGTGGGAAGAATTTAGACTTTCTCGTAAGGTTTGAAGAGTGATGCAAAATGTTGTGTAGTATTACATAAAAAGTGAAACAAAGAAAAAGTGAAAAGAGAAAGTGAAATCTAAGAACTAAAGAGAACTTACAATTTACTTAAATTTTAGGTACTAGTATTTATTATTTATATTTAATTTATTTCAAATCGAAATCTTTTAATCCATGCATCAAAATTTTGTGTTAAATACCCAATCCATGTCTAGTTTTGCCCGTTTAACTTGGGAAACAGTACCTTTGCCTTTGGTAATCTCGTTGATACCTTTTGGAATTCAGACCGATTGTTGGAATGCCTGGTCTCCAAAAACGACATAGATCTGAATATATTTCCATTTCTAAATTTTTTCTCTATGATAACCCTTTGAAAGTAAGCGGAGTTGATTTCCTGATAATTCTGCCGGAATGTAAATTAGGCAGGTCGATAGGTCAGGAGCTATGGAGGCCTAGTATGCATGAAAATCTCGTGCGCATCTGTCTCTGAGTCTGACGCTAAGGAGGCCAAATATGCATGAAAATTCCGTGCGGCTGCTGTTGTGTTCGGAGAGGCCTACCACAGGAGTCTGAAGTTTTACTCATCAAAAAAAAAAAAAAATCCGGAAAAAAATTTTCCTACCCTTAACTAAAAAAAAACCCCCCAGGATGGCAACGTGTTTTGGGGGGACCCACCTAAACAAATAGATCTGGGCTTGGCTAGAAAAATCTCGCGACTAATTCAGTTTCCGGAACGTTTTTGTTATTTATTCAATGTGAAAAATTCAATCTGCTTGACGACTACGGGCCGTTCCTAGCCCTTTTTCCACTTTGACAGCTCATCCTGGACTCCATGCCACTAAACCGGAAGAGAATCTCGCAGTGTATATTTGACGTTTATAAAAACTTGTTCAAATGAAATAAAATAAATAATTGTTCAACGTAATTTTATTCAGTTATTTTAAATATATTTAACAGAACTTTAAAAAGTTATTTATTCTTTTTCTTACTTGTACGACGATGTGTACCAGGGACAGATAATTCAGTTTTAACAAGCGCCAATTTTAAATCAATGAAAAGCCATGTCGACAAAGAGCCAAACAGTTAGACTAAGCACCATTATAAAGCATTATTTTGTTTGAAAAATATATCTTTTTATTGATCACGTATGGTAACATAAAATTGTACATGAAGTTTTACATGCATTTTTTTTTGGTTCTTTTCTTCAATTACGTCATTTATTCACCTCGGAGTTCACTTCCGGTTTAGTGGCATGGAGTCCAGGATGAGCTGTCAAACTGGAAAAAAGGCTATGAACAGCCCGTAGTCGTCAAGCAGATTTGATTCCTCAACTTGAATAAATAACACAAACACTCCAGATACTGAATTAGTTGCGAGATTTTTCCGACCAAGCCCAGATCTATTTGTTTAGGTGGGTCCCCCCAAAACACGTTGCCATCCTGGGGTTTTTTTAGTTAAGGGTAGGAAAAATTTTTTCCGGATTTTTTTTTTTTTTTTTTTTTTTTTTTTGACGATAAAAACTTCAGACTCCTGTGGGCCTACTAAAATTGGGATGGGAATCCTCGTGTAATTCAAATCTATGTCTGCATTTTTAAAGTCTAAATCAACAATTTTATTTCACAATGAAATGGAAATATAAGGAATCACTGTCTAGTTATGAGAGTATGCCAGGGACATCAACAATAGTGGGAAACATGGGATAATTTTAGCATAACGGGCTTCGCCCGTTATGCAAATTATCCCATGTTTCCCACTATTGTTGATGCCCTGGCATACTCTCAAAACTAGACAGTGATTCCTTAAATACATCTGCATCACGCAAAATGCACCACTCTCGCATACAAACATCCTTTTTGATTGGTGGGTATCACCTATGAATATGCAGAGAGGTAAAATTATGTTAGAGTTATCTTTCTTTCAGGAGGTTTTGCAGGACTTTGGCAAAATGCGATATAAGCTCTTAATTTTTTTAAGCTTGTAATTATGTAAATATAAGTTGGTTTTTTTTATTTAAGAAAATGATATTCACTTAAAGTACCAACACTGCTTTGTTTTCTTTACGAGTCGGCTCTGATACGAACAAACAAAAATACAAACACACAAACTTAACTTGGCTTTTCGTTGATTTTGGTAAATTCTTATGCTTTAGTTTTTGAAATTGTCAAATTTACTACCATATTTATAATAAATATGTATAAATTTGAATAACGATAATAAAAAGATTGAATCGGGTATCATTTTACATTCACTGTCATCACTGGACAATGATGAAAAAAAAGTGCATTTCATAATGTGGTATAATTCCTACATAGTAATTCTCAGAATTTTCTGATAATTACATGAACGTAAACGTACATGTATCTTTAACATTTTATTTCAATTTACTAGTACAATATAGATACGCTCTGATTGACGATAGTGGATTCTATCTGATAAAAAAAATATATTTTTTGTGTTGCAAAAACATGAATGTTATTCTTTGCAATAATTTTGGTTGCAGCAAATTATGAAATAGTTTTGCCTGGATTTGGATATTGTGAAAATCGTTTTTGTAATGCAACCAACATTTAAATATGATTAAGAATTAGGGTATATACCTTTGAAATCCTCGAAACTTATAAGTTTCAAGTTAAACTAGAATGTGACACATACTACATTTAGGAATTTCTTTCATATCGAATTCAAAATTTGTGCTTGATATGCAAATCAAACCCGCCACCCCACCCCCTATCACATTCTACTTTAAAAAATATTAGCTACGGACGGTTTGTCCACAAATTTTCCCTTAAATTTTATTTTTCCAAATAACATAATAAAAATGAATCCACCCATTCACTTAATATAAACAGGTGCATATTCTGACAAACTATGAGCAGGTCAACAAGAATGTTGCAATTAATGGGGTCTATTTTTCTTTCTGCACATTTTGCATTCCATTGTGATTGTCTGGAAAAAAAAAATGTACCCAGTGAAGTATACATCGTTTTATGATTGTTTCTCTGAAAATGCATTGACCCGCTTATAAGATATATCAAAATAACTCTCCAACAAAGTTTTAAGCCTCTTTTTTCTGTCTGTCTGAACTTTCTTTGACTTGGTTTCCAATTGTCTTTCTATTTATTAAAATTCAAAACAGATTTTGCCGGTCTTCCGTGACCTAAATATTCAGTCATTGTTCAAATCACTCCACATTTTTGTGGCTGGCTAAAAATTATGAATTAGATACCTATTTGGCTATCAATCAACAGAGTAAAAAGTGCGTACACAATCTACAGAGTAAATCTTGCCAGCCTTTACAAAGAGTCTTACGGTGGGCATTGTTACGTCCATCCCCATTGGTTGAAGTCACTGGAGTGTGACGAAATCACAGGTCTTGTTATTTTACCTACAGTGTTACGTTAAATGGAATTCAGAACTCAGGTGTATTCATGTGTGCGGGCATTTTTACGAATGTTTAATAGCACACCTGTCATTATTAAAACTCAATCGAAGTGGAGGACCCACGAAATTTAAAAGACAGCTGTTTGATATGGACCCTAATTATAATTATAATCAGGGAGTTAATCCTCCAGAATCATATAACGCTGTGCCCCCCTCGCAGAACATGCAAGGGACCAATATATGGACTGGGAATTATCCCAACTTTCAGCAAATGCAGCAACTCAACGCACAGCTCGGTGCAATGAATCTGAACAATTCTGGAACAAATTATTTGGATGCTTACATGTCCATGGCAAGAAATGACCCTTCAGCAGCAGCTAACAATGGACCGTACATCATCGCGTCTGTACAACCTTCTCCGGTGACAATTACTCAAGGAACCCCGGGACTAAGCATGCCAAGCAACTTGCCAAATAACATCACAGGCTTTCCAAATGGACAATTTCCAGCGCCATCCCAAGCAAACCAAGTTGCGGGGGTGATGACGCCGGAGCAGTTTGCCTTGTGGACACTTCAAACAAACATTGCTCTCGGAAATATATCACAGGAGTCTTTAGTTAACAACCTCCAATCCATTCCAAAGGGATCTGTGTCAGTACCAATAACTGTTGCCAGTATTGTTTCTCAGACATCTCAAGAAGCCGTCTCGCCGACCACCTCTGTCAGTTCTAATTCCGCTCCCCAAACGCCGTCTACCCCAGGGGCAAGACATCTTTCTGAAGGGGCACCAGGAATTGGAAAACCTTTGCAAGTGCAGCTGAATGAAACCGGAAGTACCTCATCCAGTTCCATGCCTGGATCGCCGTCAAGCATATCAGGACACTCTCTTCCGGAGACATCAACTTTCTGTCCTCTTTCTCCGGATTCTGAAAATGTATTCTTAAACGGTGAATGGAAATCAGGAAATGTTCCCATTCGTTCCCATTCCCTTAAATATCAAGTGAAATATCCAAAGGACAAGTGTTATAAGTGCATGAAGAAGATCTACCCAATGGACAAAATGGGTCCAGTAAAAGACGCAATGTATCATAAAGGGTGTTTTGTTTGCAAAGTATGTAAAACTCTTCTAAATGTAAAGAATTATTACCTAAACAAAAATGACACATTCGACCATGACGTTTACTGCAAGTCACATCAGCCCGTGGGCACGGGGAAAGGGACTGATGCGGACGCTGTGTTAATTAAAGGTTTAATGAATGTCCCAAAACTGGACAAGGTAAATGAACAGATCAGGGGCGATAAAAACTATCACCTGGATGCCAATGCTGTGGAAATTGCCCATGCACGGAGTGTTCCGGCACCTGACCTTCAGATGGCCAACAAGGTCAAGGAGAAAGCGTGGACTAAAGATCAGAGGAAGTCGGAAAGTGTTCCTCCCCCAAACGTGGTGCGGTACAAAGATCCGGTTCCGGAATATGATCCAGAAAGTTATGAAAGATACGTGGTAGAAAATAACCCTGATTATTAGTTCATGGATAATTGGCAATAATGGGTTAGAAACGAACGCGGGAGTGGATATAAATCGGACCTCAAAATATGTATATCCCCTCTTATTATGGGAAGTCATCATATTTAGGACCATCTACATTGGCCATTGTATGATTTAAATCGCCATACTTACGGTTAAAACGTTGTGTGAGATTTAAGCTTGATTTAAATTGTATAATGGAAAACAATCCCGAGGTTTTAAACAGAGGACTTATTTGACCCATTGCGTTTTATACAGTTTTGATTTCATCGGAGAGAAAATAGGGTTGGCAATGGTGCGTATAGTTAACAATAAGAACCTGTGGTGTCGGGCAGAGATTTAATAAAGCTGACCCTAGTCGCCTATACACCTGAATACCTGGACACCAAATAACAATTAATAGCTCCTTATTTCGCCACATTGTCCATTGATGGTCATTCTAACGCCTCTCGGTGGATAATCGCCGCTGAAATCGTTAAAATTTACGGAAAGTCTCACACGTGTTTAGACAGATTTGGTATGAATACACCAACGGAGTAATGTCGTAAGAAAAATTCTCAATTATCTGACTAATAATATTGGTGTTAATCAGTATTTACTCTTGTAGATGTTCACATTTGACATGAGTAATCAGCATATATACGATAGATATTATTACAATTACGACTATACAAGATATTTTATGTACAGTATATAACTTTCTTAAGGGGCATCAATCAAAATTATAAGCACGTGCTAATTATGTTTGTGTAATTATTTTACTTATAAATGAGATGTCAGAAAAACACAGAATTGAGGACTATAGTTTATACTTATCATCCATTTAAACATGACATACATTGTATATAAGTATTTATAATATACCTTTGTTATTTATTGTTTGCAATTGTTTATATACCTCAATAACACTATAACGATGTGTTCTTGGTCTTTTTTACCACAGAGATAACGATCTCTACAGATATTCGCTAGAGTTTTCCATAAGCTGAAAAACAGATATAACTTGGCTAGTTATATGACCTTTTCTCGCATGCTTCTGTTTCTAATACAAAGGCAGTGTTTCGGCGTACCATGTCATTTTTAATGCAAAGTCTTTTGTCCTCGTGTAGTTTAAAGTAGTTTTTCACAATATGTAGGATGCTTGGAAAGATATGCGTTGAAATGCTTAAAATAAGACGTAGATCCAAATCGTCCCATTTTGGATTTATTTTTTATTTTTCCTCTATGACGAATACTCCTTTTCGATGTTACTTTTCTATAACAAAACGACTTTGCTCTTGTTCAGAAAAAAACATTACCCTGTTTCGCATGTTTTTCTGTTCCCCCTTGCAGAAGAGTTACCACAAGGAAATATACGTATAAAATAGTGACTGCGTCTTATTTTCGTAACTTATTTAATATATCTGACCAATTCATTTATTTGAAATCCATGACAGCAGAGTGTTTTAGGTGCGAGTAGTAACCCCCCTCCCCTCAAAAAAGTGGAGAAAAAAAGTTTGTAAATTAAAATGTTATTGTTTGAAAGAAAATAAATAATTTATATATAATATGGACCTGAGAAGAGAAATCCCTCCTAGCCAACACCCCCCCCCCCCCTCGGCAGTTCCACTTTTTCAAAAAAGTGGCAATTACCGCAATTTATTTTTGTGTCTTTCCAGTCCTTTTCTACAAAAACACATATAAATATATACTCGATCAACTTACATGTGTATGTTTATGACTAACATCAGGTAATTTGAGCGCGTGTATTCATCAAATCAATCTTCATATTAGATTTATTGAAATATTGTCATATATTGTATGTTTAATGTGCTTTTAGCATGACATTTAGATGTTTTAGTGAGTCATTTTGTTTTTGCGTTAACCAAGTCCTAAATAATAAGAAAATTTTCTTGACTGGGATAAAATTACGAGTAGCAATTTTCACGAAATATGACGAGTTTGAATTATCCACTTTTTGACATAACAAGGTGGAATCCTTTTTATTTTCCCCAATTATTTCATATTAATAATTAACACGAATGTAAAGTAAATATTATGAAGGAATTAATTTTGATGAAGTCTGGCATAAGCACCCGTTAGCCTTTCGACTACTGAGTATCCGGCTGCTCTTTACCGGTGCTAGGACATTCAAGTTCGTTTCAAAGGTCATCTATTTGTCGTTCGCAAGAACATTTACCCTAGCTGTTGGGTCCGCAAGAACAGGATACAACTAATATAATTGGAAGAATGATGAAGGATCAGACTTCAGTAATATCATCCCAAAGATATACAAATGGGAGTCAAATATCCCCCCCCCCCTACTCTAAACGAAGTACATGTAAGATTTTTTGTAGTCTGGACAGTTGAACTTTTTATGCTTGATTTTTTTATTACCTCCTCCAACCCTTACTTACTTTTCTCTGTCGGGTAATTAGTTTCCCAAACGATTTGTCAACTTTTAAAGAACTAGAAAATATGTTGCTTCGGGTCTGAGATGCATTTGACACAAAACCATAAAGGCAATTCGAGCATGCATCATACCTAAAGTAGTCCTGCCTTTTTAACGAGTTTTCATCACTTTGCATTTAAATTAACTGTCACTTAAACGGTAACTTAACCCGGATCTCTCTCTCTCTCTCTCTCTCTCTCTCTCTCTCTCTCTCTCATGTATAAGGTGTATGGTTTAAGTGCTTAAATATCTGCTTACAACACTGTAATTAATCTAAATCAAGATCCGTCCTTCTGACTTGATAAATCACAAGATAATGAGCTCAAAACCAGCCTTCAACATTTCCTAGAAATTTCTGTCAGATCCAAATCGAGTCACAGCTAAAAACGATAAACGCATTATTGCAAATTTATTTTACTGCATTCAAGTATATGAAAAAGGAATCTGCAACTGCCGTCAATAAAACTTCCAACGTCATTTCTTCTCTTCTTTTAGAACATATCAGGAAAAGATTTTTTTTAATTTCCCAAACGATTTCAGTACCTTTCTTTCAAAGCAAAGAGGAAAAAAGTTTTTAGCTCCATTGGCGATTGTGTTTCGTTAGTTTGTTGAGTGAATTTGTGGTGTTAAAAGATTTTACTGGATATGAAAGGTTCTCTTATGTTTGCGTCAATGATATAAATTTAATAAAACATGACCGAGAGCAATACAAGCGAAAGAAGGGGACATAAATCCTGGTGTCCTTTTCTCGTCGGTGACTCGTGTGACAGGAGCAAGACTGAGGGAACAAAACGTACCTCACCCCCTGAACCGAAAGTCGCGTCTGCCGTCAGGTCATGCGGACAATGTGATTATTTACTGTACAAATACGGCAATAATTTTTCACTTACTTATCAAAAAAATCTTGTCAAATTCAATGAAATATCTTGTCACAAGGCTGATCTGAAGGAATCCGCTCGGAACTGTCTTGTTTACGTGGTTGTACACTGGTCACGGATAATATGTCACGAGGAGTCACGATTGAACAATCATACAGACAGATAAAACATCATTTGGTTATTTAAATCGGTCCTCAATGATTGAAAAAGTGATTTCTCTTCATGTATCATTAAGATTCCCTGATTTATTGAATAATGCGAAGGATTGTATATGCCTTAACTCTTACCTGCGCACATTGGGATAAAAGATTAAAATTTTAGAAAGATGCTTCAAACAACTTGGCCCTTTTCCCCTGAAAGAAGAGTATTATAAGTGTTATCTTTTAAACAATAGAAGCGGGTTATGTAAATTTTTTCTGCAATTTTATTGTTTATATTTATATTTTTTATCAATTAAAGTAGGATTAAAAAGATTAATTATTGTATTAATGATGCGAACGTCTTTATACGTATGGATTTATAGGCGACCTGCCTACTGCAGTTTATGCAGTGATGAAAGCAATGGGGTTTCTTAAGAAATAAAGGAGAAAATATTCAGTGGATGTAAATATTTTAGAATGAAAGCAATGTTATTAATTTTTTTTATACATCACATTAATTTATAGGGGGAAATACTCAAAAAATACAATGTACTTCAAATGGAGAAATAATTGTTTGGTGTCACAAACATCTATATACCAGTTCTTTGATTTTTTGGGGCCAAAAAATAACGTGCTTTCATAACTTTGTTTTGTATATGGCCTGTTTCATTAAATTTAATGTATTAGCCGTCTTGAATTCAACTGCAATGCATGTACACATGAATACCTTTGTTCTTAATTTACGACATACAACTGCTCTCAAAAATCTTATCCAAACATGTAAGTTTACATCATATTTATCAGTCTTTTATTTTATATCTCAAATATTGTGTATATTTTTTTCGCTTATTGAAGCTTATGTAATAAGGTGCCCCATGTCCATCTGTCCACCCGATTGTAAACAAAGAGCTTGGTTCACTTTATGCATAAAACGGCCCTGTAGATATACAAATTTATTGACCAACACTTAAATGTTCCATTTTACACTTAAAAATGAAGCAGAGACTTAGTTCTTTCATTTCCTATAGCTATTAATTTTTTTCTCCTTAAACTCCAGGTCTTGGAACAGAGGCTTTATGGAATTGCAATGTTCTTGAATTTTGATGGAAACAGACCTTATATATTTGAGTTCTTTCAGAGAAGATAAGTAATATGAGCGCACCCTCCTATCTAAAAAATAAAACATGTCTTGTTATCCTCAGAAACAGTTCATTAATTTACTGGTTGCATATCTTATATCAGAGATTGCGCTCTATATCAAATATTGAAAAATAGCTTTAAATTGAAAATTGACTGTTTTTTGTAGATTGTTTCAGAATATGAGTAAATTGACGCATTTCATGACGTCATAATGCATTGACTAGCCAGAAAATTATGTCATTTTTGATAGACATGCAATCACCAATGGTCTAAATGATATTTAATGCATTGTTAATTAAAATAAAACAGTTTCAGTTGTTTAGAAATTCACAGGGCCAAAAAGACCATAAGTGAACCTTGTTCTTTTCAAAGTGCTATTTTTTCTTCTTCAATATGACTTCACTTGGTTCACGATACATAAGGAGAGGAATCATCGCAAATGAGACTGCAATGCATTATTCTAATTGAAGCATCAATGTATGGTCTTTTTTTATTATTATTTTTTTTTTTTGCATAGAAGTATAAAAGAGTATTTTTCTTCATTTATTTCATTCTGGACCATATGGATTCAAATGAGTAATCGGCTTTGTCAGAAAAGCAATATAACTGAAAACATTCAGGCCCTCTCCTTCTTTCTATGTGCTCTATCTGTGCCCGGTTTTAAGATTAAACTTTTCAAACTAGAGAAAAGCACGGATTGTTCTTCACCGCCCGGACGTGAATGGTGGAATGTTTTCTTTTCAGGGTAGTGAGTTGACACAGTGTGTCTTGATGGTCAAATAATAAATAACATTTAGTTGGCCAAGTCAATATGTATACTAAAAGAAAACCAATACTATTGTTACTGGTACTAACACATAACCGTACCTATCCTCCGGGTCTCCTTTTCCTTCGGGGTGCATTCGGTTTCTTGATGTTATTTTAAAGTTTGCGAATTCCTTTGGATACATTTGGTAAACTGAATGTAACTTTAAGGTAAAAATCGGGTCAAATATATCATGAATAGTAAAACGAGCAATCAAGTTTAGAAAAACCAAAGGAATTTTGTCAAAGAATACATATTTGAACTATGAAAGCCAAAGTTCTAACTTTTAAAGTTATGATCAAGATTAGAATTGTTTTGAATTGGTAAAACTCCAAGTCAGAGGGTAATATGTGAATATCTTGTTATAAGATATAAACAAGTGAAATATTAGCTGCAATAATGTAGCCCTCTCCGATTTTTTTTTTTTTTTTTTTTTTTTGCACCAACTGCAGCTAGTGAAATATGAAAGCCATTGCACCAACTATTCAAAATTTATGGCCTGGGTCAAAATTATTTATAGATGTA